AATAATACTAGTGTGTGTGTGTACATGCATACCACATACATCACATCTTTTTTTTTTCTTTTTAATGTTTTTTTATTTCTGAGAGAGCGAGCGACAGCGTGAGAGAGGGTCAGAGAGGGAGGTACAGAATCTGAAACAGGCTCCAGGCTCTAAGCTAGCTGTTAGCACAGAGCCCGACACAGGGCTCGCACCCACGAACCGTAAGATCATGACCTGAGCCAAAGTCGGACACTTAACCGACTGAGCTACCCAGGTGCCCCCATATCACATCTTCTTTATTCATTCGTCTGTTGATGGCCACTTGACCTGCTTCCATCATTTGGCTATTGTAAATAATGCTCTTGTAAATCTAGGGATCATGTATCCTTTTGACTTAGTGTTTTTGTATTTTAGGGGTAAATATCCAGTAATGCGACTACTGGACCATTGGGTAGTTGTCTTTAACTTTTTGAGAAACCTCCATACTGTTTTCCACAGTGGCTGCACCAGTTTGCATTCCCACCAACACTGTAAGAGGGTTTCTCTTTCTCCACACGCTCGTCAACACTTGTTTGTGTTTATTTTAGCCCTTCTGACAGATGGAAGGTGAACTCTTTGTGATTTTGATTTGTATTTCCCTGCTGATGAGTGATGTTGAGCATCTTTTCATATGTCTGTCAGCCATCTGTATGTCGTCTTTGGAGAAATATCTGCTCATGTCTTCTGCCCATTTTTAATTGGATTATTTTTTGGGTGTTGTGTCAGTTCTTTATATATTTTGGATACTAGGCCTTTATCAGATATTGCATTTGCAAATATCTTCTCTCATTCTGTAGGTTGCCTTTGAGATTTGTTGGTTTCCTTCCCTGTCCTTGCTAATTTTTTAAATGTAAAAGTAGTACCTTTAGCAAAAGCAAGCTCTGTATTTCCATAGAAAAGAGGTTAACGTTTTCCATTAAACTTCTTTAATGACAAAAGAGAACTTTAAGGAAGAACTGAATTTTACCAGATAGTCTCTATCTACCTAGTGAGACACTTTGAGTTTCCTACTGATTTTAAAAGGAATATTATAGTGCTATCTCTTTGTTCCTGGTAATTGTCAGTCTACAGAGGAAGCTAGCATAGAAAGAATAACTGCTACCACCTAGAGAGCACTCCTGTCAGACCCTGGCCAGGGGCTTCCATACCTCGTCTCCATTAATACACTGGCCTTCTCAGGCACGACCATCCCCTATCTACTGCTGAGGAAACTGATGCCGCATGGAGTGGTTAGTGACTCAGGGTCACACAGGGAGTAAGTGGTAAAGCCAGGATCCTAAACCCTTACTCTTAACATATGACACGAACATTTGGTTGTATAGTGACAGATTCAGAATACTAAAGTAACTAAACATAAAAACAAAAATGGAGATCCGTTTCAAAACTTTACTGACGAAAAGCTATAGTTTGTACTTAGTTACCTGTGGTTATAGGGCACACTTGATTCTGAGCTTTACTGATTATAGCTCAGATCAAAGATTGGCCTCTTAATGCTACTATAGACCAGAGGTATATCAGTCCATTCCAAATAATGCAAGTGGTATTTCTGAAGAGTCAGCACACGAAGTCCATCAAAGTTCATGACCTAGGTACCAAGCAGTTGGATCAGCGTAAACAGAAGAGGCAGCTGGGAGCAGGAGGCAGCCAGGACCTGGCCCAGCCCTCTTGTGCTGGGAGGCAGCTCTTGGCAACAGGAGGAGGATGGGCTGAAGACGGGATGAGAGAAGGTCTATGTAGGGATCAGACTGAGGCATCGAGGGGCTTCCTGTTAAGTCCGTGTGGCAGAACCTCTGCTGGTTCCCCCAAGGGGAGTTAGACCAGGTTCAGAACGGGACGTCAGGCCCCTCCTGGAGGACCAGAGTCCCGGGCAGGGGAACAGTCAGGATGGGGGAGGAGAGCAGAGACAGGTGCTTGCGTTACTTACTTGGGATCTCGTGCTTCAGGGGTGTTGTCGGACTTGGCTGAGGGATTGCACATCCCAGAGTGCAGGGTACGCGCGCGTCTCAGGGTGGAGGAGCCACAGAAAGGCTGTTTGCTTATTTATCTGGTTCAGGAGTTGAATTTCTTCCCCCTTTCCCTGCAGCTGGCCGGGGTTCCCGCCTGGGGGTGTCTGCGGCAGGTGGCAGGTGGGCAGGGCGGGCGTCGGGCTTGAGTGGTGAGGAGCTGGAGGAGGCCACGGCAGGTGCTGCCAAATGTGGAAGTTGGCTTTGGATCTCGACAAAAACCCAGAAAAAGGCTCTGGTCTTATTTTCACAGAACCAGGCCAGAAACCACTGAATGAACATGTATTATCCTCAGCTTGAATTATCAGACGGCTTATTTCTAGTTTCACAACTGGAAGTATTCTTTGGAAAACCCACATTTGGGTAGTGAAAATTACACTTCCTGGGCCAGACTCCTTGTATAACTAGAAATGACAATGCATGGAAAGATGACTTTATTATTTTACTTTTATCAGTAGACAAACTTCCTAAAAACTTTACATACTCATTTGTAGATAAACCCACATCATAAGTGACTAATAGGACCCTGTTCTGAATCATGCAGACTTTGCAGATAACAAGCAAGCTGAAAAATGTCTAGATCTAATTTTAATTTTTAAACTTTTTTCCCCTAACTTGACAATTAGTCTATAAACTTTGGGAGAAATAAGTTGGATAATTAAGTGACTATACTTTCTCATGGTGTTTCTAATATCTATTTTCATGGCTCTTTTTGAAGATTATCCAAAGTGAACAAGGATTTTTTACACACAGCTTCTTTTTTTCCCCTCGTGTAGTGGAGGGAGGAGCAAACCCCTCGTCTGAGTCTTTGCTTGTGGCCATCCCCCATGGACAGGTTTTCAGGGCAAGTGGAAGTCTTCTAAATTAGTAAGGCACTGTTGTCTCCTTAAATCTTCCGAGCTCAGGAGTGAAGGCTGTACTCCAGTTTGTCCAGGCTGAGGGGGCCCTTGGAGAGTCTAGGACCGCTCCTTCAAGGCCTAGACAGGGAGGGCGGCTTGGAAGCAAATGAGGCAGGGGGCAGAAAAGGATGTCCGAAGCAGCACGTGGTAGATCTTCCTGGGGCAACAGCCGAAGTCTGGAGGAGAAGGGTGTGAATTGCCTTCCTTGGTCATTGTCCTGCGTATTGACATCTTAGAGCTTTCTGAGGCAGTTTTCTTTTAGTCTGCATTCCCAACTTTCACTAATATGTTCAAAAATGTTAAGAAGGGGGAAAAGGGCAGATTAAGCTTCAAGGTTGTCCCCCAGTCCCTCTGGAGGGTAGCCTCGCAGGCTCCCGGGAGCCCTGCTCCAAGCGGTCGTGTGTGGGCAGTGGGCACGCGTCTAAAACTCCAGGAGCCTAAGCACCGTTGAAGGTGCAGGTGTAGAGATGGACTGTCCTCGAGGAGCTTACAGCCTAGTTGAATAGGTGACATAAGCCATTCAGCAAACATTTATTAAGCAGGGGGGAGGGGGGAGGCCTGTGGTAACTCAGCAATGATTAAGTGGAAGTGCAACTTTCTAAGGAGTCTGTAATGAATGGTTAAGTAGCAAATACCAAACAATTGAGGCAGAACAGCGAACTTCCTGATGAGCAGTATAAACAAGGGCTCAGAGAGCGGAGGGATCACTATGGGTTGGAATGACCTGTGAAGGCTTTAAGGACCTGGTAGGCTGAAGCAAAAGCTCTGAATTTTGGCCTTTTCTCTTGGGATCTGCTAGATTCTAAAATAACGCACAAAGAAGGGTTTCAAGGAGGTGTTAATCTCCAGAACTTGAGGGACGCTTGTGCTCCTGGCCAGCTAGCAGCAAAGGGTCCCTGGGGGCTCGCTGCGGCTTCTGCTTCAGGTGGCCCCTGCCCTTCCCTCTGTCCCCCTGCACCATTCCACCCACTGCCAAGACCTGCGTGTGGTTCTCTAGCCATTCTGCGTGCCTGTTAGTGTAGCAATGCCAGTGCGTTTTCCTTATTTAAAAAAATAAAAACGTATTTAACTTTTTGAATAGCAGCGTACAGTTGAAAAACCAGAAAATATATTCAGGAAAAGTCCACTGTCTTGTCCCTGCCTATTCCCTGACTGCTCTCTCCCTGTCACCATTACTAAGTTTCTTATTGATCATTCCAGACTTTATGTCCATGTAAGACAACAAAAATATATTTCTTCCATTTTACCCACAGGTGGCATGTTAAATGCATGGTCTGAGATCTTGTTTTTCTTCATTTCACACCATATCTGAGAGTTCTTTCCTCGTAGTAAATAGAAAACCTTCTGATTTTCTTCATAGCTACATCATATCCCACTGTCTAGATCTACCATAATTTAACCACCTCCCTATTGATGGTGAGTTGGGTTGTTGGTTTTTTTTGCATAAAGCAAGCAGTGATGAATGACCATGTAGGTCATTCACATGTTTAAAGACTACATTTAGCAGGGCTAGAGCTCTAGTGGTCCTGAGTGGGAAAAGAATATGGGTTGAAGTAGGACACAACCTTGGCCTGTTGTGTCAAGTCACATCATAACCCGGAGCTAACCTGCTACATGTGCCTCCTAAGAGTAGATAGGAGCCCCGGCCCCCGCACCTGTATTATAGGGACACTTTAGAAAACCCCAGTTTTTGCTTCTCCGTGCCTTTCACCAGAGCTATCTGATTTCCAAAGATGTTTATTTGGCCAGAGGTTTTTGGTGGCATTTGCCATAACTGGGCCTGGGTAACTTCGTATTCTTAAAAAAGTTTAATGTTTGAGAGAGAGAGAATGTATACGTGTACAAGCAGGGAGGGAGATACAGAATTCACAGAAGGCTCCAGGCTCTGAGCGGTCAGCACAGAGCCTGATGCGGGGCTCAAACCCACCAACCGCAAGGTCATTACCCGAGCCAAAGTCAGACGCTCAACCAACTCAGCCACACAGGCACCCCACTTCAGACTCCGTTAGACCTTGTTCTTCCAGGATGCCTCCTAGCCCACTCTGAAATTCTCAATGCTCCTGGGACCTTGTTTTCATAGGCGGGCCCATCTTCGCTTGTGCCTGGAGAAGTTGAAGGGGCTAGTGCCGCTTGGACCTGAATCGAACCGACACACTACATTGAGTTTATTGACAAAAGCCAAATTGCACATAAAGGTAGGTATATCCTTGGGATTCCTTGTTAGCTTAACCTTCAGTAAGGGCTTGCCTGTTGGTGAGGGATAGCAAACGTGTATCTCCCAGAGAGCCCTTTCCTCTGGACTCCCCTACCCTACCTCTTCGATGAATCTCAGGCATCCCAACAGGTCCAAGCACCCAGCTGAGAGGTTCTCACCCCTGTGTACCAGAAGTTAGATGGCCCATCCCATTGTCTATTTGATGAAGCCAGAAACTCAGGGTCACCCTTGCTAACTCTTGCTCTGTAGCCACATGCGTCTAAGTCATCTCCCACACCTAAACATTTCACGGGCACATTCTGTTTCCCCTCCCCATCATCTACTACGGTGAACTCCAATAAAGGCCTCCCTGTATCCTTCTGGCCACTGCTGAACTAAGCTCTATGCTTCCCAAGAAGAATCCTTCTAAAGATCAAGTCAACATGTCACCCCTTTTCAAAGTCTTCAGTGGCTCAGGAGGTGCACTGCAGCAGGCCCTCACGTGCCTGTACAGCACCTTGTGCCATAGGCCCTTTCAGCCCTTTGCACGTGCTGTTCCCTCCACTTGCTAGGATTTCCGCCCCCTTCTTCGCCCACTTATCTTGTTGGCCTTCGGACCTTAACACCCGTATCACTGGCTCAGGGAAACCTCTCCTGCCCCGCTTACATCCTAACCGTCCCAGATGGATCTGTCTTTGGGAGAGCACACCTGCTCAGCACTGGTCCCAGGTGACATCTGACCATGATTTGTAGGACTGTTTGGTGATCTGTCGCTAGTGGCAGGGGACCAGGTCTTTACGTTCACCTGCCAGAGGGTCTGAAACAGAGTCCTCGCTTGGTAGTACCTTGGTGGTATTCGAACTCCTGAGAACCACAGCCACCTTACCCTTTGCTTGTTTTTATAATCCTTTAGTCATTGGACAAGTGTCACTTTGGTTACGGTTAGAGGCCTGTATGCATGACAGCTCGGGGGCGCGGGGTGGAGAACCTCCGTTTAGAGCAAAATAACTACAGTTAAACAGATTTGTAAAAACAAGTGGTCTGTGGAAACGTATCTAAGCTCTTACGTTGGACAGCTTGGAAGCAGGGCTTCAAAAGGGACTGTTTGTTTCCTGCTACCAAACAGAAGTTAATTGGGACTTGGCAGAACTCAAAATAGTGTTTCTATAATCTTAACATGTAGTTGAAAAGCCAGACTTGTAAATGGCACACATTACAGCTGCCGTCACACGCATCGCTCCAGCTCAGAGAGGCGGTCAGGACCTTCCCGCAGCCCAGGGGGCCACCGGCCGCTCCCACCTGCTGTCTCTTCCGGGCATCAGAGTGGCATGCTCCTCCCCAGGGCCCCCGACGGTGCAGGTACCTGCGGCCGAGTCAATACGGAAGAGGTTAGACGAAGGCAGGAGTCACTAGCCGATTTCCTGCCCTGTGAAAAGCTGGCACGGTTCACTGCTAGAGGGGAAGATGCAGAGTCATTGCCAATTGTGAAATCTGCCCACGGGCTCCAACAGCTACCCCCTCTGACTTGCAGAAACTTGAAGATTGTGACAGAAAAGCCATTCACCAAATAGACCAGCTTCAGCGAGAACAGCGGCACCTGAAGCGGCAGCTGGAGAAGCTGGGCATCGAGAGGATACGGATGGACAGCATCGGCTCCACTGTCTCCTCTGAGCGCTCGGACTCCGACAGGGGTGAGTCCCCCGGCCCGGCCCAGGCAGCGCAGGGGAGGAACTTGGAGCCCACGGGTAACTTAGACTTGTTGAGTAACGGCACATCCGGGAACAAGGCCCTCTTTCCTTTCTGCACTTAGGCAGCAGGTCCAGAGAAGGGCCTGGCGGGGCTGGCTCGGATTTCCGGCCTAAGCCCTCACAAGCATGGCTTCACCTGTGTCTCTTGTCCTCCCCACAGAAGAGATCGATGTGGACGTGGAAAGCACAGACTATCTCACGGGGGATCTGGACTGGAGCAGCAGCAGCGTGAGCGATTCCGACGAGCGGGGAAGCATGCAGAGCCTCGGCAGTGACGAGGGCTACTCCAGCTCTAGCATGAAGAGGATAAAGCTCCAGGACCATCACAAGACGTGTCTGGGCCTCTAAGAGCGTGGTCGCCTCGGCTGCCTCCCGATGGTTCTCCCGGCGGACGGGATTAGGTAGTGTATTGGACCTGCCCACAGCCCCCCTGCACGTAAGCTTCCATGTACCACCTCTACCAAACTCGGCTTTGTAAACGTTCTCGAGGAAGTGCTTAGGATTGTGGGTTTCTGGTTGCATCCACTAGCTTCTCTCTCTCCATAAAACGTCCGAGAGACTGTACATTCCAATCAATTTGAAGCACCCAAGAATTCTTAGACCGAATAAGCAACTGTCACATCTCAGCAGTTTCCCCTCATCTTTACCGTCCCCGTGTAGTCTAGCAAACCTTTCTTAGAGTTTTCTGGCTCTGTTACTCACCTAGCAGAAATGTCCGAATGGGTCTTGTGCTTAGGAACCTGAAGGAAACAAACTTTTAAAATTGAGAGCCTGATCTCAGAACTCCAAAGTAAGCTTTGAAAGTGGCATTTAAGAGCACTTAACCATGGACCTCACCCCCAGTGAGGAGTCAGGAATACCTCCAGAAAACCCCCCTCACACACCCCCTGCGCTCCTTCCCTGACCCGCGTGTGGATGGGAGCAGGACTTCTCACTTAAAAGTGGAGCCCTTGAAGGCAGGGCTCAGGCTGCCCAGAGCTCTGGCGGCACTCGCTCCCACCCACCAGACGGTACAATCTCCCTGTGCAATGCGCTCGGGGCCGCGCCGTCTACTGCTGTCCCAAGACCCGTTTTTTCCCCCCAAGTTCGTTATGCTACTTGTCTCTGGAACATTTTTTTTTCCTACCTCAGAGATAAATGAGATCTCCATTTCCCAGTTAACACAAAGTGATTCTGCCTTTTTTTCACCCCCAAATAAGTGACATTTGGTCCAATTCTAATCTATTTTCCTATTTAACTTTCAGCAATAACTGAGCTTTGGCGCTAGCTGAGCTAGTGTCCATCATCAGTGAAAGGAAAAATCCGCATTTCTACTCTGTTGCAGGTGAACAGGAGGGGATGGTACAGTGTTATTAGAATTCCTCTCCTTATTTTTGGATACACCCAGAATCTTCTTTATGGAGGCTTTTGGGTTGGTAGTTTAAAAGGCTGATCTTTCTTTTTGGTTATGATTTCCCCCTTAAGTGGTCTCCCACTTTGTAGCATTTTTATTTAAGCTAAAACAGAGCACATGTATATGTACATAAGACACCTTAAATCTATAAATACTATTTATTCATTTTATATAAACTAATGGAAAACAAATTCTTATGACTTTGTGCTTTTATAGATGTTCTAGAAACTTTGTATGTAGGTATCTACAAAATTGGTTCGTTCCCCTTACTATTTTTGCATTCACATTTTTGACGTCGAGGTTTTCCGCCTCTGACAAATCTTTTTCATTGAATTTGAACCATTTGTAAACCCGGTGATGCTGAAACCGTGTGTGTCACGAAGTGACGAGAACATTCCTAAAATCCACAGACGCACTGCAACCTAAGGGCTCCACGGCTGCACCAGCCGGCGGCCCCCCTGTGCTCCCCGCCGCCTGCGGTCTCTGGCCCCCCAGACTCACCGCGCCTCCAGCGCCTCCGCCTTCCACACGACTCCGAGTTCAAACGTGCTCCACACAGAAGCTCATTCTGTACGTGAAGAGATTTCATTTTAATGATTCTCCATTAAAAAAATTTTAATTGGAAGTAGTCGATTCCTAAATGATTCCAAAGTCATCTGTCATTCTTTTGTTTTTTTTCCACCCCTTCATTTCAGCTTTGGGTGAGGGAGGGGCAGGTGACACAAAGGATTTTTTTTTTAATTGGAAGCTTTTCCAATGACCAGCTGAAGATTTGCACTGAAATACAACTTGTATGCCTTCTGCATTTTTAAAGCCTGCTTCCTGAATTTAAGCAGAGTGATAGTGTTCAAAGAGCCAGCTCAGCCTGTAACATGTTTGAAAAGATGTATCTGCACTTTGAGGTCCCTTTCGAATACCATTCGCGAGACCTCTCAAGCATTTTAATTGCTACATTCAAGCGCCTCACAAGTCCAAGATGCCAGATGCCTTAAGGCATCGAAAACTCAAGACTTTGGGCACAGCTTGTGGGCTTGCATTGGGGGGAGGTAAGGGAACAGAATTTGTGTATTTGTTTGATTTTGAAATAAGGCATCTGAGAGATGCCATTTTCTGTGTTTAAGTTAAAGTGCATTTTTGTCTTTTGGTTGAAATATGAAATGTACTGTCCCAATATAAAATAGTAATTATTTGACCTTTGCACTGTTTGTCTGGTCCTTTTCAATTTGGTTGCATATATAAATGTGGAACTTGCTCTATTTTTAATGCACTTGTGATAAACTGACACCAGGGTTAGACATTACTTTTCAAAGCTCGAGGTAGACTGAATCGGCGTGCTAGATCGGCCTCTAACCAAAACTGTAAACTTCAGGACCAGCAAACTCAGCCCAAGGCAGCTAATCCCCTTCCCCACGCGGCTGATTGGCAGCCCTCGTTTGCCAACCTACCCTCTCATTCACTGATCCACCAGCGTGACTGTTAAGAACTATAAAGTCTTTTTGGTTGTTTGTTCTTGTTTTAAGCAAAATGGAAAACCTTTCTATTTAGGGTTGTTGGGGGGAGGGGAACGGGCAAAGATAAACCCCAGCCTTTAAGACTTTGACAACTGTACGTAAATATAGATGTGTAAATATAGGCACATGCATATTTTTATGTAAAACTGATTTTTAAAAACTGAAAAGAAATCTATACTCTTACTGATACCATCGCAATGCAGATGGGAAGGGAAGAGTATGTAGTCCAGTTTCGTGCAGTGAGAAAATAATGGTGCGTGCTGTTAACATCCCAGAACGCATAGCTTTCCACACCTGTTGGCTTAGAATGGCAGGCAAAGCACCCAGGGTATTCCGTTTGGATTTCTTCTGCTAAGCAAAGATCTTGAATTCTCCAAGGTGCTGATAGTGACTGCCGACTCCTCTCTCTAGTCACAGACATAATGCTAGTTTGTGATCCTCTTAGAATCACTTGAGCAGGACCTAAATTCTTCTTCCAGTCAACCCAAGACTCCGATAATGCCTGGGGCGATTCAAAGTTGAGCACTGCAGCAGGCCCCTGACCCTGCAATCGGCCACTTTTTTTTTTTTAAATATAGTCCTTACCTGGGTTCCCTACGGGCCTCTCTGATCCATTCCTGAAGTGGCCAAGAGCAAATGCTGGGGTGGGGGTGGGGAGGGGAAGTGTCAACCTAGGATGGTAATGCTCAAAGTAACTGCCGAGCAGGGTCTTGGGGCTCACTAAGGGGATTATGAGCTGTTTTCCTCCTTGCCTCTATCCCATCCTTTAAAGAGAAAACTTATTTTTGGAAAGCATATACATACATGTTATTTAGGCTTTTATACCATGCCATATGGGCAAGAATACCACTTTCATTATGCTTTATAACCTATCCCTGAATCTGTCTTCTCTTCCTCCTTTACCTGCTCCGTGTTTTGAACCCCAGGAAGTCCATGGCTACAAGGTGATTTCCTGCAGGTCCATCTGGTTTTTGTGATTTGTGTGTGTGTGTGTGTGTGTGTGTGTGTATCTAACTCTTGGATGCAGTATGTTTAGGTAGCTGGCTACTGAGTTTTAAAATCCTTTCTGGGAGAAGATGACCCAAAGACCCTTTTAGGGGGGTGGATTTTCTCATTCAGATCTGTGACTATGGGATATTTTGTTTGCAAAGATCTCTGGGGATGGGGAGGGGTGTGTGTGTGCTGTGTGTGTGACTGATCATGATTTCTTCATTAGTATTTATTACATGGATGATTTTCTTATGCTACATTCTTCTGAAAGAAGAAACTGCCGAGCACTGCTAGAGTCAGCTATTAAATGGCTGAAGAAATTGAGGATCTTTGTCTTCTCTCAAAATCATAAGATGAGAATTAGTAAGGGACCCAATTCCAAGATTTATCCAAAATTTTAAGTATGATTTCTTACTCCGGGTGGGGGAGGGGGCAGTGAGTTAATGGGGGCATTCTTCAGTTTAGCTTTTACCTGAGAACCAAACTTGCCTTTACCCCTGTCCCCAGAATTGGTGCTCCGGGAATATTGCTGTTAACCATCAACATTGGGGGCCATCTTCCTAATGGTAAACACAGCCTAGAGAGGGGAGCAACAGATGAGAGAGTATGGAATTCTGTTTCTAGCTGTTTATTTCTTTATGTAAATATGACGCCAATGTAAATCCTGTGTCAAGATCTAGAGAATGGTGCTTTTTACTACAGTTAGCACATGCATTTTTAGAACTACTACCTGTTTTAGAGAATCTTTGCTGTGTATATGTAAACTTCTGTATTGTCCCACCGTTAACAAATAAATTATTTCATTATTAAAGAAATTTGGGTCTTCCTGTTCTTTTGTGCCCTTTTGGGGGGTTTTTACTTCCAGAACTGAGTTAATCAGATTTCTTAATTTCATAGAATATTCACTGGCCAAAAGTTTTCAGCTCTCGGGCTCTGTGAGAAGACTAGATTGTGTGGCTCGGGCTGAGCTCATGTATTGATCAGAACCAATGCCCGTGTAGCTGCCCCTCTTACCTGTTCTCTGCTCCACACTTGCCCTTGGGTCTCTGATCACCATGCAGTCACCTCTGATGTGGGCAACCAAGATGGCACCCAATCCCTCCAGCCCATGCTCTGCTGAGAAGACAGATGGAGTCACAATTTAACATCACATAGTTGTGGAATAAAGTTGGGCAGGGACGATATCATGAGAAATCACAGAGATGGTGGTATTCGAGTTGGGCCCTGGAGAAAGTAGATGTCGGCGAGGACAGGAGCCCAAAGCAGAGGCAGGTGTTTGAGGAAGGGGGCAGCCCCGCACAGCTGGGGTGTGGCCTGGAGGCCAGAGCATGTGGCAGGTGACGGGACACACGCAGGGAGGACATACGGTGAAAGACACAGGAGATTTACCGAGAGGAAAGAAGGCACCTGCTTTAGGGGGTTGGTTTATATACATTCATTCAACAAATAGGGATTGAGCGCTGGCTCTGAGCTGGGCTCTGTCATATAGAACTGAGGACATATCTATGGACAAAACACAAAACCCTGCCCTCTGGCACCACTTTCTAGTGTCACTGACTGGCTCTGGACCTTGATCAAGTCCTGCCCAGCAAGCCTCTGAGCTGAGCACCGTCCCAACCTAACTCTTCTTGCTCCCTCAAGAAAGCACTTGTCCAGAGTCGAGAGGAAAGAAAAAGGCAGCTTTCTCCTTCTTGACCAGGGACCTCCTATTCTTCAAACCACCTAAAAATTCTGAAAGGTTTCTATGGGGCCCTGGAAGTTATCCATGATGGTGTACAGCCTGCTGGGCTTATTAAAAAAAAAAAAAAAAAAAATGGGGCGGGGGGGATCTTTCTGGTACTTCTACTTGGGAGAAGTAGCCTTTCTCTTCTGCTTTCTCCAAAAAACATGAGCCGTGCGCTGGGCCAGTCTAGGATGGGAGATTCTAGAATCCACCTCTGTGGACAGATTCCAAACCAAACCCACCAGGCACTGAACTGTCAGCAACACGGACGAAAGCTGCATCGGGCCCCGGCACCAGGCCCCCTGCTCACTGTGGCTGAGGGACAGGAAGCTCTGGGCCGCAGATAATCACGGAGGCAGCGCTCACATAAAGAGCCACCCCCACAAGATGACAAATCTTATTCCCAAGGTTTCCTGACTTTGCTCGCTCACAGCAACAGCCCGATGAAGTGTCCTTCTTTCTGCCATATGGGTCCATGTCACCAAAATGGTCAACTCATAGGTCCTGAGGGCTCTGCCTCAGTGCCTCTGGGAGCTCCAACATCAGCCCTGCTGGTGACCACAGCCACTGTCCCTGTCTCTCAGAAGAGGATGCAGGTGGGGGGGGGAGGGGGGGCGCGCACGTTTGGCCCCGAGTCCACAGAGCTGGGGGGCTTGAACTCCAGAGCCCACATTCCTTTGCCTCAATTTTTGCAAGAGCAGTGTCAAACTTTAATCAGTTTTCCATATATAACATTTTTTTTTTTAAGCCTTTGGATGCGGCTATTTTCTGTGAAGGGGCCTTAGGCTCCAGTTAATGAGGCAGAAACTGGGAATGCACAGGACAAGTGTGGATTGTCACTGCTAAGTCATTGTCCTCCCCTCCATCTTAACGTGCCTCTCTGCCCCTCGTGAGGATTAACCCTTGATCTTGAAACCCATGGGGGTCTTGTGACAATAACCCAGCACGCTCCTAGAGGAAGACATTCTGTACAGGACTTGAAGACGTTCTTTCTACACAAGTCTTTTTGGTCATAGACCATGTGACATCACTTCATTCAACCAGTATTTACTTAACACACTTCCACGTAGGCCTTGGAGTTTCCCTTAATCAAGTGCCACTTTGGTCCACCTCTTAGAGGTCACCATGACCTAGACGAGGAGGGACACAGCAACCCTCTCTGCAAAGACACTCTGGAAGCCTCTTGTTCCCGTTGCCCACCTGGGCCTGCCCACTAAGGGCATTGGGCTTCCCATGGCCGAGGGCCCCACAGGAAAGGACCCTGCAGGAAGCATTGTTCACGGGTTGGCACGGACCAGGTGGCAAGTCGGCCCTCTGCGTGCTCTGTCCCATGTGGAATTCACGGGACATCCTTGTGGGGACCACACAAAGCAGATGGGGCTGCTCTGTGACTAGGGGAGAACGCTTGTCCAGAGGAACAGGGAGCCGCATGCCGGACAAGAGTCACTGACACCCTTTCAGCAGGCAGGAAGGCAGCCTCTGCCAGGCCACGGCCTCCGGGACGCTCCCTCAATGTGCACAAAGGCAGCATCTCTGGTGAAGACAGGCTCAGGATTGAGTGGGACAACTGAGGCAAGAGTAGGTGCAGAGCAAAGGGTCAAGACAGAGCTGGCGGACTGGGGACTCACGGGCTGGAGAGGTCCACGGAGGTGCTGAGGGAAGAGAGAAGAGTCCTTCATCAGATGCTCTTGGCCTGACCTGGGGGGCAGACGTGAGCTAGGACAGTCATGGTAGGGGGCTGTGGGTCAGGAATAGGTCTACCTGCAAGGAAACCATGGGCCCGGGAGAGAAGACACCTGGGAGGAGGGCCTAGAGGATAGAGGAAAGGGAGAAGCACCAGCCCAACCGACTTGCTGGCCACCCAGATGGCCAGGCTGGAGGACACCCGGCAGTAGTCGCCGGCCCTGCCCCAGTAGGTCTGGGAGAGCCAAACCATCTCCTGGAAAGGTCATTTAGTTAAAAATGTCTGACAATTTCTTGCCTTGCCTCACTGATGTTCCCATCGCCCAAAAGGGAGAAGACACGGTTATCAGGGAGCACTGGAGCGAATTCTGGTCAGGAGCCGAATGAGAGATTGTCGGGGGGAATACGATGTCCTCTAGATACCCTGGATGGGGGTCCCGGGTGATGGTTGAGCACATGGACTCTGGTCAGATGGATCCAAGAGCCAGTGCCAGCTCTAGCCTGTGTACTCCGGGTGACCTGGGGCAATTGTGCTGGGCTCTATTTTCCTACTCTGTAAAGTAAGGATAGTAATAGTCTTTATTTCCTGGGACTGTTGGGGGATTATGGAAGAAAGGGTATAGAAAGAGCCCAGCCCCGTTCCTCACTTTCAGGAGCATTCAGCACATAGGAGCAATCAGGATTCCTTTACCAGCAAGGAGAGAAGCCCCGACACTGTCAGAGACTCAACTAAGGTTTTCAGAAGACAAAATTCTAACAGTCAGGAAAGATATCAGCCTAGAAGGGAAAATTACATGAGATGGCAGGAAGTGTTCAAGTATGTTGTTCTGACTGTGCTATTTAGACAACAAACAGCAGGCAGGAAGTGGTTAAACTGACAGGGGGAGACAGAGAAGAGTGACTCAGGGACAGAATGTGGCCAAAGGTGGGGAAAGGGGCGTTTTTTCAGATTGGATCTCACCTAGGTGCTGTTCAAAAAGTCAAAACAAATCCTAAAACCCCTCCAGCCCTACAGGGCAGTTCAGAGACTCTCAAAGGAAGACCAGGAAGTACAGGGCTGGTTAAACCAGAGAGACCCTTGCGAAAATGCCTACGTTTTACAGGCTCCTCCTCAGAAGAGTGGGGGGACCAGGTTGGCAGGGGTTTTTCTAAAAGCAAATTCAGAACA